GAAGCCTGCTAGGGTCCACCCAGAGCAGCAAGCACCTGGGAGTGGTCCCAGCCTAGGTCAGGGTCCCAGCACTACCACACTGCAGCTGGAAATTGGGTACAGCAAGATCCATGGATTTCTCGGGAGAAACCAGAACTGTGCTTTTCATGTAAAAGCTCTGGGCTTTTCAATGCCACCCTCTGCCCTACCCCACTCACCTCCTCTGAACCTCTCTTACCAGGCCCTCGAGACCCTCTGGACTTCCCCCGCCTGCCTGACCCCCAGGCCCTGTTCCCAGCCCGCCGCCGGCCCCCCGAGTTCCCAGGCCGCCCCACCACCCTGACTTTTGCCCCGAGACCTCGGCCAGCTGCCAGTCGCCCTCGCTTGGACCCCTGGAAACTGGTTTCCTTTGGCCGGACGCTCACCATCTCGCCTCCCAGCAGGCCAGACACTCCGGAGAGCCCTGGGCCCCCCAGCATGCAGCCCACACTGCTGGACATGGACATGGAGGGGCAGAACCAGGACAGCACAGTGCCCCTGTGTGGGGCCCATGGCTCCCACTAAGGCCTGCCCACCACCGCCCGCCTGGGCAGCCATGAATGTAGCGCCCCAGGCCCCGCCCCAGCCCGCCATGCCAGAAGGTGGGGGAGGCCCTGGGGAGGATGCTCACTCTATTTATTGGGGAAGGGGGGAGGGGGGACACTTAACTTATTCCTTTGTACCCCAGGGGGTGGAGCCCTGTGTCCACCCATCACTGGGGGAGGGTGGGCAGGGATACTCAGGGACAGGGCATCATAGGGGACTTGGCACAAAAATGCAGCATTAAAGGTAACCCCTGCCCCCTACCGCACTTGGCTGTGTTCCTTTTTCATTTTCTTTTTTCTCTTTTTTGAGACAGTCTGGCTCAGTTGCCGAGGCTGGAGTGCAGTGGCACCATCTCAGCTCACCGCAATCTCCACCTCCTGGGTTCAAGTGATACTCCTGCCTCAGCCTCCTGAGGAGCTGGGACAACAGGCACCCACCACACCACAGCCGGCTAATTTTTGTATTTTTGGTAGAGACAGGGTTTCACCATGTTGGCCAGGCTGGTCTCAAACTCCTGACCTCAAGTGATCCACCGGCCTCAGCCTCCCAAAGTGCTGAGATTCCAGGCATGCGCCACCACACTGGGCCTGGACTGTTTCTTTCCCGGGCCCAGTCCCTGATGCTGGGTCAACCCAGTGGAACATTCCCCCACCCCACACACCCTCCCTGGGCTTCTCTGGGTTTCTAAGGTCCAAGGGATGTGGCCCTCCCTGGTCCCCCCCCCAAGAATACCACACAAGTTATGATCACCAGTGACAAGTGTTTTACCAGCAAACATGAGTCAGGGGGAAGTTACATACATGGTGAGGTGAGAGGATGAGGGGGCAGAGACGGTCCTCTTGGGTTGGCCTCAACCAATCACATCCCGAGTCTGGGCCCCAGCTCCACTGTCTTCCCGCTGGAGGCTGCAACGGTTCATCTTCAGCTGAGTCAGCTGGATGTAGCGGAGCACATTGGTGTCTGCAGGGGAGGCAGGCAGGGCATCATCTGGGTGTCCTGGGGCAGCAGGCAACTTCCACGCCATCCTGGCTCACACCCCATTCTCCACAGTCTCCAGCAGCTCACTCACACAGCCAATAGTGCCAGAGTCCTTCCCCAAAGCCACAGCTAGTGACATTGTACACCTCTATGCACCTGTATTTGCCGCAGCCTCTGCCAAGAATGCCTCTTCACAGAGGATCCCATCACTTCCCATCCTCCAGTGACATCGGCAAGAAGTCTGTTCTCTCCCAGCCACTTAGTGGGAAAACTAATCTCGTCTCTACTCCCACAACCCTGAACCTGTTGTAATCCCGCTTCATCCCTCATTGGCTCTTAATACAAAACCGAGTGTTGTGTCTGCCCTCTTGCACTCATAAGTGCACACATGCGCACACCCCAATTTCCTGGCATCGCCCACCCGGGTGGATGAGTGGATGGTGGAGGAAGTGAATGAATAGGTGTGTGTGAATGGATGAGTGGGTGAATGGAGGAATAAGTGTGTGCGTTATGCAGGGTGGGAGGGGGGAATGAGATGACAGTGGGTGGATAGGGAAGTGGCTGAGGCCGTGAATAGGTGTTATCAGGTGTGTCAATGACAGTAGATGAGAAATGACGCTATGGGGAGATGGATGGGTGAAAGGCGGGTGGATGAACAGTGGGGTGAGTGGAGGAGTGGGCATGTAGGGAGTGGGTGGGTGGTGCAGCCCTCCCTCGAGGCAGCTCCGCGGGAGGAGGAGGGCTCTGCTGTTCTGCCTCGATCTTCCTGCACATTCCCTCTGCTCCAGCCCCTTTCCGATCCCTGGGCCAGCCCTCACTTCTGCCCTGCCCCGCCACTCACCTGTGGGCTCCCGGCTGCGGGCCTCCTGCAGGTAGCGCAATGCGCGTGCATAGTCACCTAGGTGGTAGAAGGCAATGCCGGCGCGGTAGGTGGCCTTGAAGTTGCCCTGCTGCTTCTCCAGCACCTTGAGACAGTACTCACGCACGCGCTCGTAGTTCACCAGCTCCGACTGCAGCAGGCAAGCTGCGGGGGCACCGGGGCCGGGGTTCTCAGAGCCTGGTGGCACCCTCAGAACCCACCTGACCATGAGGAGCCAGGGCTCCAGGCTGCAGGGAACTCGGCCTAAGGGATTGCTCGGGCCACCGGGGGCGCCAATCTGCTTGCCTATCAAAACAGATGTAACTGCACCGCCGCTAGGGGGCGCCAAAACACGGACAGGCGCTGGCCTCTAGGTGATCCCACGGACAGGCACTGGCAACTAGATGATCCGCCCGGAGCTGTCGGTGGGCAAGAGCACTAAGGGCGGCGCGGGGGCGGGAGGGAGGGGGCCGGAGTCGAGGGCCAGGACCTCCAGCGGCTCACTCAGGGCAGACTTCCTCACCTTAGGTCCACGTGCAGCCAGAAGGTGGTAAGAATGACTCGAAGCAGGCCCTGAAGACCCCACCCAAAGACCATTTCCGGCATCCCAGCTCCCTCCAGCCGCAGACCCCTGTCATCCCCTACCCCTAACCTCTTTCCTTGATCAAGCTCTCAAGTCTCCCCCAGAAGCCCACGGCCCCAGACCCTTCAGCCCCGGGGCCCCTGTCCCCCAGGTCGCCAAGCTCTCCCGATTGCCCCTCTCCAACCCGCTCCCCATGTGCCCCATCCCTTCATCCCCCGACGGCGTACCTGTGAGAGAATCATAACACTCCACCTCCGTGCTCTCCACCAGGCGCCGCTGCTCCTCGCTGAGGCGCGCCGGCCCGGGACTGCTGGTGGGCCCGGGGGCGGGGGCAGGCAGGCCGCCAGGGCGGGCCCCCTGCGCCGCCTTCAGCTGCAGCAGCGCTCGGTGGTACTTGCCGATGGCCTCCCGGAACTTCTTCTCTCGGTAGCAGCGCTGGCCCTCCGCCTTGAACGCCACGGCGGCGCGCAGGCTGCTGTCGAGCGCCGCGCCCAGGCTCCCCGACGGCTCTGGGGTAGGACCGGGACGAGTCGAGCCATGGCGGGAGCCAGAGCCCGGGCCCGGTGGGGACAGGGCAGGAGGCGGCCGCGGCGGAGGCTCCGGGGCAGCGCTGAGCATCAGCACCGGGGACAGCGCACCGCGCTGCATTGTGGGAAACTCCTGCCGCCGCGCTGCAGCAACCGCATCGCCCCCCGCGGGGCTGGTCCCCACCCTTTCTCCGCCCCCTCACCTCCGGCAGCCGACTCCGGCTGCCCCCTATGGGTCTAGGGAAACCCCTTGAGACTTCCCCCATGCTCACTCTCAAATTAGCCAAGTCCTAGTTCTCCAGCCCGCCCCCGAATTGTCCCCACTCCCTTACCCTCCTCACCCCCCTGCCTGCTCTCCTCCCTGGTGCCCAGAACTCCTGAAGATTTCTAGAAGGAAAGGACAAGCCTGGGGGAAAGAGCAGGAAGACATCAGCCTCAAGGAAAGCTGGCTCTCAGCCTGCTGGCCATTTGGCATATCGAGTGAGAACACAGGATTTGGACCCAAACCGCCCAAATTCAAATCCCTGCTTATTTTCTCACTAGTGGTATGACTTAGACAGCTCGCTTAAACTACCTGGAACTCTGTATCCTCATCAGTAACATGGGACCATAATATCTCCTTTAGGGCCGGGCATGATGGCTCACACCTCTAATCCCAGCGCTTCGGGAGGCCAAGGGCAGTGGATTGCTTGAGGTCAGGAGACACACACACACACACACACACACACACACACACACACACACACAAAATTAGGCGGACGTGGTGGCATACCCCTGTAGTCCCAGCTACTCGGGAGACTGAGGCAGCAGAATCGCTTGAACCTGGGAGGCAGAGGTTGTAGTGAGCAGAGATTGTACCACTGCACTCCAGCCTGGGTGACAGAGGGAAACGCTGTCTTAAAAAAAGGAATAAAGGAAGAAAAGGAGGGAGGGAAGAAAGGAGGGAGAATACCTTCTTTGGGATTCATCTGCTAATTTACGCAACAAATATTCGCTGACATCCTTTCTGTGCCCAGCTCTGCTGGATGATGCTGGGATGTAGCAGAGACTGTATGAGCTTCAGACCCTACCCTCACTGGGCCCCCAGTTCAGTAGGAAGACAGACCAGTGACCAGACAGTGGCAGCCCTGAGCAGGCTAGCCTGGGAAGCACAGGCAGAGGTGTCAGGGCCAGGGGAGAGGAGGTACATGCAGAGGGATTGGGGCTGGGATATGGGAGGTACTGCCGTGGGCTGAGGTGGTGAGTAAAGCCTTCCTGGAGGAGGGAATGACTCTGTAAACAAGAGAGATCTCCTTCTTGCCCTCATCAAGCTCGCCTGTCTATGTGGAAAAGCCAGTGAGAAGGCAAACAAGTCCCCAGGAAAGGAAGCATGCAGGAGGCTGCAAGAAAAAAACCGAGTGTGAATGAGTCGATTGCCCTTCGGTCCTCCTTAGCCGCCTCCTTAGCTGTGGGACTTGGGCCAACTTCCTCCATCTTCCTCCTTTGACTTTTTCTGTGTGACATGAGGATAAAAGGCAAGTTAACCTCAGAGAGGTTGCAGGGACTGAATTATCTTATGCAGGTAAGGCACTTAGCACAGGGCCTCAAACATTAATGAGCAATTAACAATTGGTGTTTCTTATCCATTAGACTGAGTCATGTGATCTTGAGCGCCTGGCTCTGAGTCAGCATCCACATAGAGTTGTTGAATGAATGAGTGTGTGAGTCAATAGCATTCTGCATTACTACTCCTTCCCCCTCCCCTGAGACTGTGGCTTGGGTCTCAGCTCCAAGCACCTCCACTCTCCCCACATCCCCCCCCACAGCACATCCTCCAGCTGAAGGTCCCACATGCAGGTTGCATGTGACAGACAGAAACTGGAACTCAGCATGTGCCATCTCAACCGCAGCATCTGCCTCTATCTCTTATTGTACTTTGCTGTAAAATGCTTTTGCTGGGTGAGTTTCTCCCTTATCCTTGGGGTCCAACCTTGAACACCTCAGTTGTGGAAACATTTTCCTTTCTGCATCTCCAAACCCAGGCAGGTAAAACTCCCGAGTGTGGGTTCTTGAGCAGTGCACACACCTTTCCCCATCTCGGGTGTGGCTGCTTTGTAATTAAAAACATGAAGATCTGGCCAGGCATGGTGGCTCACACCTGTAATCCCAGCACTTTGGGAGGCCGAAGCAGGTGGATCACCTGAATTTAGGATTTCGAGACCAAGCTGGGCAACATGGCAAAACCTTGTCTCTACCAAAAATACAAAAAAATTAGCCAGGTGTGGTGGTGTGTGCCAGTGGTCCCAGCTACTTGGAAGGCTGAGGTAGGAGGATCGCTTGAATGCAAGAGGTGGAGGCTGCAGTGAGCTGAGAACACCACTGCACTCCAACCTAATGACAGAGTGAGACCCTGTCTCAAAAAAAGAAAAGAAAAAAGAGCCATTGATTCATAACACATGTTTTCTGACCAAGTAAATACCTAGGTACCCAGGCACAGTAGCAGAGGACAACTGTACCTAAAATCACAGTCCTGCTGGGATGCAATGCTAACACTTACAACACCTCCTAGGTGTCAGACATCGTCATAAAGCTTTATGTATATTTTGACTCACATCCTCCCCACAGTGTCAGGTGGTGGGTACCATAATTAATCCCCATTGACACCTGGGCACTTCCCAGGTTAAGTATATCAGACCCCATTGATCAAATTCTTACTAACCAGTACTTACTATTACAAACTGATGACCTTCACAGAGCATCTCCCAGGCCTGAGACCCTATCTTCATAGTCCAATATAGGTGATGTGTTGGGGCTTGTACAACAATTAAGAAATATTGAATTAGGCTGGATGTAGTGGCTCACACCTGTAATCCCAGCATTGTGGGAGACCAAGGCAGGAGGATCACCTGAAGCCAGAAGTTCGAGACCAGCCTGATCAACATGAAGAAAATCCATCTCTACTAAAAATACAAAATGAGCTGGGTGTGGTGGCACATGCCTGTAATCTCAGCTACTCGGGAGGCTGAGGCGGGAGAATCGCTTGAACCCGGGAGGCGGAGGTTGTAGTGACCCGATATCGTGCCATTGCACTGCAGCCTGGGCAACAAGAGCGAAACTCCGTCTTAAAAAAAGAAAAAAAGGAAATACTGAATTAGTCAACATCTAAAGGCAGAGATGGAATTGCAGAATTTCAGATTTAGTTGAGTAAGATCTGAAAATCCGGCAGCATCGTGGTAGCATTCCTCCCGACCGACCGGGGCGGGCTTTCTCAGTTCCCCACAGTCCCCTTCCTTCCCGATTTCATGCCAATCCTTAGGGGGATCCCAGTTTTATCCTACTGAATGGTTCTAGGGGAAGCCCGCCATTGCCCCCTAGTGGAGGATTCAGAATTTGCATTTTATATCCAGCAACCGTTAAAGGACGTGTTGAGAACAATCCAATCAGAAGGATGCGAGCCCTAGAAAGCGACCAACCAAAAGCAAGAAGGGACTGGAATTCGACCAATGAGAGCAGAGAGTGCTCAAAATAAAAACTTACTTTATTGAGATGAGGGACGAACACACACTGGGAGGTTGTTTTTTTGTTTGTTTTGATGGCTGAGTCTCAGCGCTCAGGGAGGCTCAGGTGGAGGCGGCGGAGCAGGCAGGCAGCCGTGAGGCTGGTGCCCTGGCGCTGGGACCGCGCGTACTTGAAGAAGACGGCGGCGCGGCCCGGCGCGGGACCTCGGAGTGCAGCGCGGGCCATGCACGGCTCGAGAGGTCCCAGTTCCTCGGAGCTGCAGAGGGAGATGGAGAAACTGAGGCAGGGCAAGGGGGTGGAGATGACCCATCCTCAGAACTGGAGCTTCGAGGCCGAGATGCGTCGCTGTGGGTCCCCACGGACGGGTCAGGGCTCTCTTGAGATCGGTCACTGGAGTGACTAGGCGGGTACCGGGGAGGGTGGACACCTGATTCTCCCTGCAGGGCGCAGCTAGTGGGGAGCCAGAACCCAAGCAAGGAGAGGAGCCGAGGATGGACAGCCATCCTCTCTATCCTGGGGATACAGGCTGGGAGAAAAATGGTTCGCCCTGCCACCTGGTGGCACGGTTAGCGATCCTAGCAGCTAAAGGGAAACCCCATCCACCACCAGATACAGAGTTAGAGGAGTCGAGGCCTGGGAGAGCCTTCGTTCTCAGCCCTGGAAGGCAATTGGAACATCTTCTGGGCCTGACTGACTTTATCTTCCTCCCTGGGGCAAGGTTAAGTGCCCCCAGATCTGGACTAATGGGATCCTCCCACCCCATTCTCTCCCATACCAGAAAAATCAAGTCTAGGTGTCACCTTCTCCCCAATAATCGTCTCTCATTCTCTGAGATGGTAAAAATGACCAGGAAGGGAGATCCCTGAAGCTGAGGTGACCCCATACAGGCCCCCCAACAAGGCCACACCTGTAAAGCTCCGGCTTGAGCCTGGAGCCCGCCCCGTCGAGCAAGCGGTGCGCCAGGCTCAGAGCCGCAGCCGCGCGACGACCTGGCTCCCATCCCACCGCCTCGGCCTCCAGCAAAGACAACTCCAGGAAGTAGGTGGCAAGTAGCATCACCTGCAAGCGAGGCGGGGCGACTGTCAGGCCCTGCCCTACCCCACGCCAGCCCGGCCCCACCCCCACCCCGCGTATCCACTAAGCCCACCTGGGGGCTGCTCCCTGCCAGCGCGGCCAGCAGGCCGAGGCACAGCAGCGGGCCCGGGTGGTACAGCCGGAAATCCAGGCGGCTCAGGACGCGGCGCTCCGCGCGCAGCAGCTCCGCCCGCGAGAAGGAGTCCGCACCCAGGAGGCAGAGGCAGGTGGGCTGCAGATGGGGGATATGAGGGGGAGGTGAAAGAGCCCTGGATCCCAGCTCTTTACCCCCTGCCCTGGAACGGCCCAAGTTCCGGACCTCAGTTTCCTGGTATGTAAAATGAGGCTATTGGCTTGTGTCTCGAAGTCGTAGAGAGCACGGGCTTCAGAGTCCTGGGTTCAAGACCTAGGTCCGAGTTCAAACCCCACCGTCTGCTCACTGTGTGACGCAGGACAGTCACTTAGGCTCTCAGCCTCAGTTTCTCCCTGCTTCACCAGGCAATTCTGATAAGGCACTGAATTCATGCATGTTGACGGTAAGAACTCAAGATGAACTTGTTCACATTATTTTTATTTTTCTAAACTAGAGATGAGGTCACCTTGGCTTCTCAAAGTGAGGGATTTTTGTGTGGGGGATAGAGTGCAGTGGCGTGACTCACTGCAACCTCTGCCTCCTGAGTTCAAGCGATTCTCTTGCCTCAGCCTCTTGAGTAGCTGGGACTACAGACATGCACCACCATGCACAGCTCGTTTTTATATTTTTAGTAGAGACGGGTTCTCACCATGTTGGTCAGGCTGGACTTGAACTCCTGACCTCAAGTGATCTGCCCGTCTCTGCCACCCAAAGTGCTGGAATTACAGGAGTGAGCCACTGCATCCAGCCTTAAGACAGACTATTCAAGACCAAGTCCAAGCTCCAACTGCTTGATTTGAGGCAAATGTCTTCTCTCTGGGCCTCAGTCTCCTCTTCTGTTTAAGGGACACCTTGACAGCCCCTCCCTCACACACGTTGGGAATCCCAGACTCAGCACCGTGCTTGGCACACAGTAGGCACTGAATCAGTGACTCCCGAAAGGACTCCATCCACCCTCCCAAATCCCATCCCGAAAGTACCTCAGGAAGCAGGCACTCTTCCATTTTGCATGCCACAAACAGGCAGGCCACGCCCAGCAGCTGCAGGCGATGTGAGCGCACGCGGCTGGCACTCAGGTAGGAATCAAGCAGGTGAACCGCCAGGTAAAGTGTGTCACCAGCCAGACCCAGGTACTCCTGAGGAGGGGCATGGGTGGCCATGGGGTCCCGGGCAGTGATGCAAACCCAGCTCCCCACACCCTTCCAGATACCTACATGCACCTGGACCAGCCAATCTATCACCAGGGCGCGCATCTCCAGGGTCACAGCTCGGGGCAGGGCTCTCCGGGGCAGCACGCGGCACACCTGGGGTTGAGGCAAGAATGCCTCACTCTCCACACCTGTGCCCGGCCTTGCTCCTGAGCTCCAGCCCTGAGTGCAGCAGCCTCCTCCAGTCAGTTGAATGTTTCAGGCATGCCACACCCAAACTGGCCTCCAAATGCATTCCTCTTAGAGGTCCTCACCTAGAACTCTGGCTTTGTTCCAGATGCCTCCACATCCACTTCTCCAGTCTATAGCCCTCAGAGCCACGTGGCCTCCTAGGTGGCTCCCACTAGGTTCCCAGACTTTTTTTTTTTTTTTTTTTTTTGGAGACGGAGTCTCCCTCTGTTGCCCAGGCTGGAGTGTAATGGCATGATCTCAGTTCACTGCAACCTTTACCTCCTGGGTTCAAGTGATTCTCCCACCTCAGCCTCCGAAGTAGCTGAGATTACAGGCACCCACCATCACGCCCAGCTAATTTTTGTAGAGACGGGGTTTCACCACATTAGGTAGGCTGGTCTTGAACTCCCAACCTCAGGTGATCAGGCCACCTTAGCCTCCAAAGTGCTGGGATTATAGGCATGAGCCAACATGCCCAGCCTCAGACTTCACTTTTGACTGCCAACCCTCAACCCATCTGCCTCAGAGCACCCAGAAGGCTCTTTCCAAAGAAAGAGCTGACCAAGGAACTCCCCAGCTGAAAACACTTCCATGGCTCCCAGTACCCTTGGAGAAAACTCTAATTTCTTTCAGGCTTTGCTCCAACATCACCTCCTCCCTCTCTCCCCTCACAACCCACACTTCAGCCACAACTGCCTTCTTTTTGGCTCCTAGACTATGCCAAGCCCATTCCTACCCCAGGCCCTTTCCACGTCCTCTTTCCTCTATAGAGAGCATCCTTCCCCAGCGCCTTGCACGGTCTCTCTCATTCAACTGACATCTCCATGACTTTGTCTGTACTCCTCCCAGCTGGTCCCCAGCTGTCTCAGCATTTTCACTCTGAAGATGTCTCCCTCTGCGCTTTGTCTATTCGCCTGCTAGGCTGCCAGCCTCACAGCTCAGGGACTCCTGACCAGAACACAGGTGTCTCTCAGGTCCTAATAGAGATCCTGGCCCAGGGGAGTCGCTGGCAGGACGTTAAATAAATTCCTCCCTTCAGTCTTCCTTCTGCAGCACCCCTCTGCTAGGGACGTCTGAGGGCTGGTGAGGCCGAAGGTTTGGTTTGGGTGGTTTTTCTCTAATGGTCCTACCGGTTTGCTCATCGCCCGGGAACGAGGCCAGCATCGCAGCACCTCCAGGGCCTAAAACATTCGACACTGAACCATTAAATATTTGTTAAACGAATAAATGTGGAGGACAAGTACGGGGGACCATAAGCACCCCAGAAGGGGCTGCAAAGAGCCTGGGGGACGTTGGAAAGGGCATGCCCAGCGGAACACAAAACAAAAGCCTGGACGTCGCCGGAGAGGAACGCCGGCCGCCAGTGACCCGGAGGAGAGAGGCTGGCGCAGTGGGAGTTCGGAGGTGGTGGTGAGAGGGTGCTGGGTGGTGGGTGGCACTGGCCTCACCGGGGCAGGCGGCGGGTGGGCTCACCATGACTTCGGCGAAAATGTCCCCGGCGTACTCGCGTTCTCCCTGCAGCCCCAGCGCGCTCAGCGCCTCCTCAAGCCCCGGCGGCCTCTCCAGGCGTCTTGGGGAGACACTGAGGCCCATGGGGAAGCTGTCAGGGACTGGGACGCTCGGAGGTTGTGCATCGAGGGAGTCAGCGGGACTCTGCAAAGGAGAAGGCCTTGGTGGCTCAGCGCCTAAAGAGAAGCCCGAGCCGGACCCCTGGCCCCTGCCTCTCACCAGCATCCTCCAGAAGGGCGTCGCGAGTGAGGCTAAGCACTGACCGCTTGCAGCTGGGGGAAGAGACGCCCATCCGGCGCTTTAAATGCGCCTGGGCGCGTGCGCACTGAGCCCGCCTCGCCTGGGCAGGTGCACAAAGGTGAGTGCCCGCAGGCTGGCTCTGTCCTCTCGAAGCCCTCTAAAGTCGGGCGGCTAAAGACAGATTCTCATCCTACTGCCCGGAAGCAGCCCCTCTGAGCCTCACTTTCCTAGACCATAAAAGTCAGGATGATTTCAAAATGTAGTTGATGAGGTTGTCTGTGGAATGTACAACCTTCTGTTTAAATGTCCAGCACAAGTCCTGATGCAGTGAAAGCTCCTGACATGGGAGCTATAAGTCACTTAACAAATATTAAAGAAAGGAAGCCTCTTTTCTGTGCACTGGGTATAGCGAGTAAGCAAATCACCCGAGGTTCCTGTCTGTGCCAAGCTCAGTCCACTTCTATGAAAGCGACCCCCACAAGCCAGCAGCATCAGCCTAGACTAGTGCGGGGGACTCCTGGCTGCTCTCCATTTCCATCCCCTAGAGTTTGTTCCCCACATGCAGCTGGAGGAAGCTGTGCACCCCTAAAGCAGGTTACCCCTGCCTGTGTCCAGAACTTCATCATGGCTCCCGTCTCCCTCCAGCTGAAGGCCCGTGACACCCCGTTATTCTGCCTCCAACTGAGCACATCCACTCCATGTCCCTCAGTCCTCTTCAGCCCCTCAGACCTTCAGGCTCTTTCTCACCCACACCAGGCATGCTCCTACTGCAGGGCCTTTACACCAGCTGTTCCCTCTGCCTCAAATGCTCTTCCCTCAGAGACCGTGTTTAAGGTGTTTACCCTGCTGATGCCTTCTTCTGGAAACTGCCATCCTTAGCATTTCCTGTCTTTATCCTCTCCAGCACTTACTGCCTTCTAACCAACCATGTGTTATCTTGTTTACTCTCTCCTTCCTAACATGAATATTCAGGGAACCCCTTAAGGGCAGAGGTTTTGTTTTTGTTTTGTTTTTTCCTGCTGTATGCCCAGTTACTAGAATAGGGCCTGGTACATAATAGGTGTTGAATAAATATATGTTGAATAAGTGAGTGTCTAGGATGCATGTCTTTTTATTGTGGAGCGGGGAGACAGGGTCTTATTCTGTCACCCAGGCTGGAGAGTGCAGTGGTGTCATCAAGGCTTGCTGCAGCCTTGGCCTCTTGGATTTAAGCGATCCTCTTGCCTCAGCCTCCTATCTGGGACTACAGGTGTGCACCACTACGCTTGGTTAATTTTTATGTATGTATGTATTCAGACGGAGTCTCACTCTGTTGCCCAGGCTGGAGTACAGTGCTCGATCTCAGCTCACCGGAACCTCCACCTCCTGGGTTCAAGCAATTCTCCTGCCTCAGCTTCCTGACTAGCTAGGACTACAGACACGCACCACCATGCCTGGTTAATTTTTCGTATTTTTAGTAGGGATGGGGTTTCACCATGTTAGCCAGAATGATCTTGATCTCCTGACCTCATGATCCTCCTGCCTCAGCCTCCCAAAGTGCTGGGATTACAAGCGTGAACCACCGTGCCTGGCCTTTTTATTTTTTGTATGGGATCTTACTATATTGCCCAGGCTGGTCTCAAACTCCTGGACTCAAGCTATCCTCCCACCTCAGCCTCCAAAAGTGCTGGGATTACAGAGCTGAGCCACTGCACCCAGCCAGCCTTCCCCTTTGGCCTTTGGGGTAACTTAAATCAGAGCAAGACCAAGCCTATGTTCAGTCAGTCAATAATCACCTGCTGGCCAGGTGGGTGGCTCACACCTGTAATCCTAGCACTCTGGGAGCCCAAGGTGGGCAGATCACTTGAACTCAGGGGTTCAAGACCAGCTTAGGCAACATGGTGAAACCCCATCTCTACAAAAAATACAAAAATTAGCTGGATGTGGTGGCGCACCCCTGTAGTCCTAGCTACTTGGGAGGCTGAGATGGATCACCTGAGCCCGGGAGGTTGAGGCTGCAGTGGGCCTTGATCACACCGTTGCACTCCAGTCCAGGTGACAGTATTTTAAATACATAACACAACCACACTGGCAAGGAGAGGCAAAGACTGGCAAAAGTCACTTGGGAGCGCAGTATTTTGACTGTGCACCTTCAGCTCAAGGCAAAAAACCGTAAACAAATACTGAATTCTAGTTAGTAGGTTTCTTTCTTACAGTGGCGTGTTAGCAATATTTGAGTATTCTCTAGAACTGTGCAAGTAAGTAAATGCATCGCGGTCAAGGGGAATCAGGGTTTGCGCCGTCAGAGGATGGATGTGCAAACACAAACCAGAGGTTGGATTGGCCTTTGTGGAGTCCGTGTCACAATGGAATCGGAGATGAAACTGTGTGAACTCATAGTTGTTTATAAAGCAATAAGCATTGTGTACCCAAACATGTATTTCCTAGCTTAGTCCACTAGGAGGGCTTAAGAGCAGTGACACCCCAAAAATGAGAAGCACCCCTAACACCCAGACCTTGCCTGCCACATCCCATTCTTCACTAAAAGAAACCAGGGCTACTTAAAGAAATGGCTGATCCAATCAGCCTGGCCAACATAGTGAAACCTCATCTCTACTAAAAATACAAAAATTAGGCAGGCACGGTGGCATGTGCCTGTAGTCCCAGCTACTCGAGAGGCTGAGGCAGGAGAATCACTGGAACCTGGGAGATGGAGGTTGTGGGGAGCTGAGATCACACCTCAACATTCTGGTCTGGGCAACAGAGCAAGAGTCTGTCTCAAAAAAAAAGAAAGGGAAAAGGGGAAAAAGGAAAAGAGAGAGGGAAGGAAGGAAGGGAGGGAGGAAAGGAGGGAGGGAGGGAGGAAAAGAAAAAGGAAAAAGAAAAAAGAAAGAAAGAGAAAGAAAGAAGGAAGAAAAGGCTAATCCCAGGGTCAGTCATACAAGAGAAGATACAAGATCTGGAATATCTTTGTGTGGCAGAAAGTGTCCCAATGGCAGGACACGTCACACAGGCGCAGAAGTCACTAGCTAAATCTAGAAAACATGAGCATCAAGATGATACTCAGAGATCACAAACCACTGAATAAAATTAAAATACTAGTTTATTCCGATATAAATCAGGCAGTAGGAAGGAGGAGCTCTTTAATCTTTGGTATGTGAATAAATGTGTTGTTTTGTTTTCAGAGGCAGGGTCTCACTTTGTCACCCAGGCTGGAGTGCAGTGGTGTGAACATGGGTCACTGCAGCCTCAACCTCCTAGGCTCAAGTGATCCTCCCATCTCAGTCTCCCAAGTAGCTGGGACTACAGGTGTGCACCACCATGCTTGGCTAATTTTTTAAATTTTTTTTGTAGAGACAGGAGTCTCGCTTTGTTGCCTAGACTGGTCTTGAACTCCTGGGCTCAAGGGATCCTCCCACCTTGGCTTCCCAAAGTGCTGGGATTACAGGTGTGAGCCACCATGCCTGGCCAAACTAATAAATGTAGAGGGATGGAAAATCTTATTTAGCAATCACCATGGCATCATTTCATGCAAGAAACATCAACAGATGTTCAAACTAGCGGGTGAAATTACCTACAAAATGTCTCTACACAAGACGCTTATTAACTATGTAAACCAAAAGGTATCTGAGATAGTCTCAATCCATTTAGAAAGTTTGTTTTGCCAAGATTAAGGATGTACCCATGACATAGCGTCAGGAGGTGATTGGGGCACAGCTTGGTTTTACGTATTTTATGGAGACATGAGACATCATCAGTGTATGTAAGATGTACATTGGTTCAGTCTGGAAAGTTAAAACAACTCAAAGCGGGGGAAGGGGCTTCCAGGCATAGATAAGAGACAAATGGCTGCATTCTTTTGAGTTTGATTAGCCTTTTACCAAATGCACAACTTACAGGAAGGGTCACCTATGCCTAGGCTGGCACAGTGAAACAACAGGGCAGAGGAAGCCATCAGATAACGCGTTTGTCTCACATGAGCACAGGGCTGATTTTGAGTTCTGCCTGTCCTTTGTCCACAAAGGAATTTCCTCATGGGCAAATGGTGAGAGAGGTAAGTAGCTTTTTAAAAGTACCTTTAGACCAAGCACGGTGGCTCACGTCTGTAATCCCAGCACTTTGAGAAGCTAAGGCGGGCAGATCATTTAAGGTCAAGAGTTCGAGACCAGCCTGGCCAACACGGTGAAACGCCGTCTCTACTAAAAATACAAAAATTAACTGGATGTGGTGGTGGGCACCTATAATCCAAGCTACTCAGGAGGCTGAGGCAGGAGAATCACTTGAATCCTGGAGGTGAAGGTCGCAGAGAGCTGAGATCACGGCATGGCGCTCTAGCCTAGGTGACAGAGACTCTGTCTCAAAACACACACACACGGCCTAGGTGACAGAGACTGTCTCAAAACACACACACACACACACCCCACCTTTGTAGCTGCGTTGTTAAGGAACAGAATGGGAGGCAGGTTTGTCGGAGAAGCAGTTCCCAGCTTGATTTTTCCTGTGGCTTAGTGATTTAGGGAGATTTTTCTTTCACAACTACAAAGGGAAAGCAGGAACTGTCCAGTGGAGAAACCTCCCAGACACCACCTTTGCTAAGGGATCCAAGTCATCACCAGTTATGGGACAAGCATCCTCATGCGCCTTCTGATAGGATGCCCAGAAAAAGGCACGTCACTTCCGGGAATTCCTGCCCAAAATAGCATGAACATAACCACAAGGAAATGTGAGGCAACCAACCCTGGTTGAGGGAAAATAAATGCAAAGTAATTGTCCTGTGAGTTTCACACCTGCCAACTGAATTCAACGTGTGAGCCTGGTCACTGTCAACACATACGAGGACATTAAGTGTGACCATTAGCAAACCTGGTAAAATCTGTGGAGAATGGCAGTTTCAACGTTGGCTTCCTGCAGTTGCGTAGCAGAATCTTCTTGCTTTAGGACAGGTATACAGACATGGAGGAGGGGTGAATGTAAAATTCTGATCCCATCTTTGTCCGTTTTAAGAAATAAAATGCTGTGAGGAACCTGGTGAAGGGTATATTTTTAAATTCTTTTACGTTTTATTTTTGAATAGATTGACAGACTTCCCATCTACTCCACCCCCAATTTCCCCAATTAACATATTAGCGTGGCACGTGTCACAATCAGTGAGACCAATAATCTATTAAGGCCATGCTTTATTCAGCCTCCGCTTTTTCCCTACTACCCTTTTTCTGTTTCAGGACACATCACCGTGACTCCTTCGGTTGATCTTGGATGTGTCCCTTTCTCAGACTTTTCTGATTTCTAACCACCTTAACAAATCCCTCAGCTGACATCTGCCTGCCGTCTGCTTCCTCTCAGTGAGGTGGCGTGTGTCTGCGGGAGGAGGATCCCAGAGAAAATGTGGTTCTATTACGTCACGTTAAAGGGACGCCGTGAACGTGATTTATCGGTGATGTTGACCTTGATCAACATCAAACCTGGATGGTGCAGTGTTTGTCAGGTATCTTCACTGAAGAGTTCTTCCCCACTTTCCACACTGCGCTCTTTGGAGGAGTCCCACGCCTAAGTGGTAGGGGTTACATACCTCTCCTTGAAGGCTGTCTACAGAAATTATTTGTGGTTTTGTGAAGATTGGTGTATTCTCCCCATTTACCACTTAGCAGTAGACTCATTTGTTTCACATTTGCCATGGTGCTATCTCGGCTCACTGCAACATCTGTCTCCCGGGTTCAAGTGATTCTACTGCCTCAGCCTCCTGAATAGCTGGGATTACAGGTACGTGCCACCACGCTCAGCTTTTTGTATTTATTATTTTTTGAGACTGGGTCTCACTCTGTCGCCAGGCTGGAGTGCGGTGGGAAAACCCGATATTATGCTATTTATTTTGTGGCTCAAGTTCTTTTCAGCTTTGGCCACTGGGAGCTCTTTATTGGGCTCCGTGTCCCTGTGACTTAGCACGTCAGTGCTTACTTTCAGGCACTGCAAGATGCCCCAGGCTCATCTTGTACATTTTCCACCCCGGTCCCGGAATCATCTTAGTACAGTACTATTTTTGAAAGTTTTCTGCAAGTCTGCAATTATTTTAAAATTGGAAGTTATGTGAATGGCTACAGTTTTTTGGAAAGGTACCGGACATTCAAGTCCTGGGACGCAGACAACAAAAGTGCAGGCACTGTACAGACGGCTCGCTAAGGTTTATTATAGGACTGCTGGAAGCACCAGACAGACAAAACCAGTAAATTCCTGTCAATGGGGCGGCT